AGGCATATGAAAAAATGTTCAACCTCACTAATCATTAGGGAAATGCAAATAAAAACCACAATGAGATACCACTTCACTCCAGTCAGAATGGCTATCATCAATAAATTCAACAAACAACAAGTGCTGGCGAGGCTGTGGAGAAAAGGGAACCCTGGTGCACTGTTAGTGGGACTGCAGATTGGTGCAGCCATTATGGAAATCAATATGGAGATAGCTCAAAAAACTGGAAATGGAACTACCGTATGACCCAGCAATTCCACTCTTGAGTATCTATCCAGAGAAACCCAAGACGCTAATTCGAAAAAATATATGTACCCCTATGTTTATTGCGGCGCTATTCACAATAGCCAAGACTTGGAAACAACCGAAATGCCCATCGGTAGATGACTGGATTAAGAAACTGTGGTACATTTATACAATGGAGTATTACTCCACCATAAAGAAGAATGAAATCGTAACATTTGACACGATATAGATGGACTTAGAGACTATTATGTTAAGTGAAATAAGTCAGTTGGAGAAAGACAAATACCATATGTTTTCACTTATATGTGGGCTCTAAAAAACTGAATGGGTGAGGAAAGTGAACAGAGGTGGTCTCAGAGATGTGGGGGTGCAGCTGATGGCTGTTGGTTGGGGAGTGGGGATGAGGGAGAGAGGGAGGGGGCTGGACAGCATAAATATGCAGCTGCAGTGTTGCCATGGGGACATGGGGGACAGTTTGAGGAATGTAATTGATAATGTTGTGAATATTTTGTAGGGAGTCAGGTGGTCACATGTCTTGCATCATGGATGGGGAAGAGCCTTGATCACTGCACTGTACACCTGAAGCTGATGTTGTATAATAGTGTATGTCAACTATAAGTGAATATATATATGGTCATGGGATGTGGAGTATAGTGTGGGAGTGGAGTCAAGGGATTTGTAATAGATATGTATGGTATTGGGGGGAAATGGGGCGGTGGATTGGGGGAGGGGGTTGTCACTTTGAGGGGTAAAAAGTATAACTATTGCACTGTGTTGTACAGCTGAAACTAATTCTAAAAAATGTGTATTTCATAATAAAAAATAATTTAATAAAAAAAAAAGAAAAATCTACCTTGATCTAAAGTATGAGGCATTGCACGTGCTCTCTCCTCAATTGGCAGCATCCTGCAGGCTCTCTCAGCCCTGCATTTCCCTGGGCCAGACTGCAGCTGCACTTGGCTCTTGTATGTAGAGAGAGGCTCTCAGCGTCTAATCCCAGTACTGCTGGACTTGGAGACTGTCAGCCTGGGTACCTTCATGTCCCCATAACTCCATTCACACACTTTCTCTTTCCTCCTCTCCTGATCAGACGCAAACATCCCAGTGGGGAACTGAGAAGCCCTCAGGCTGATGGAACCACAAGATGGAAGGAACCTGGGATCCTGAATGACTGCCCCGAACAGAATTCCCCCACATACTAACCAATATTAGATGGTGATGTGCGAACCCACTGATACTGTGTATTGTTTGTTACAGAATTTGCATACCCTGATTAATGTACATTCAGGAGCAACTCAAGAACAAACAGAACAAGCCTATGATAGAAAAGCAGTGTTCATCCATTCATAGACCTTTCATTACAAAACTCCAGGCAGCCCTACCAAGCAGTGACTGTGCCTCACTAGTTTCCACCATGACAGGCAGCCTATCCTCATCCACAATCAGAGCTGTCCATCCGTGAAAGACCATACAGCCAGTCCTGCACCCTCTCGGTCACCCTCTAGTTTCTCTGCCTGAATATCACTGAAAGAAAATGCAATATGATTCCAGGTGTCACCTTTCAAAGGGTGTTCATGACTGTGATTTCAGCCCTGGAAAAACCTTGTGTCCCTTTAACATCCAAAACAAATCCTCTTCACACCAGACATCAATGTTAAATCAACAGAAATTTCCATTAACCTGCACCTCAGTACATTTATTTTTAAAAAGCGGTGTCACTCCCCTTTAAACGAACATACTAATTAGTGTATTAATAAATAGCTGAATGGAATCAATGAGACATGTAATCAAGGTCTGACCAGGAGTCAGGCCAGGTTGAAGGGGGTGGGGGGGAGGAGAGAGAGAGCAAAAGAATCTTATCAGCAGGTTGGCTAAGGAGGGACACATGAAAATCAATGCCCTGCATGCAACTGAGATGTAGCCAGAGTTGACAAGTATATAAAACTAAGTGCCTCCCTCCCTTTGACAGGAAGGCCCCTGGTGAGAGTTAAGGTGAGTAGCAGGGAGGCTCTTAATTGGGGGCTGGAAAAGCCCCAAGATCCCACTCAGATCGCAGCTGGCAAAGCCACCCAGAATCTTGGTGCTAGAGATCTGAGTCCTAGACCTTGATTTAAACTATTGAAAAAATAACAAGCTAGATGGGTTGATTCAGGTCTCACCAAACACTTGCACTAAACAAGAAGCCACAATGCAGGTTGTTTGTTTGAGGCTCTTGGTTAGTCTTCCTCCCCTTCAGAAATCCTGGTCCATAAAGAGTAACTAGAAGGACAGTAAAACCTTGGATTGCAAGTAACTTGGTTTGCGAGTGTTCCACAAGATGAGCAAACATTTCTAATACTTTTTCACATGGTAAATGAGCGCTGTCTTGCAATACGAGTCGTTTGTTTCTGGAACAACTTATGCTCACAAACCAAGGTATTACTGTACCTCTGCTCCAGGAGATGGGGCACTGGGAGGTCGAGGGCCGCTCTGGGGGTGGGAACGGGGCAGCCCCTGCTCCTTCATCAGCCCCCAATTTCCTGTAGCACACCTCATAACAGGAAGGCTCTGGAAGGTGAGAAGAGGCAGTTCTTTTGCAGGGATGAGGTTTCCAGCTGAAGTGGTGGTCTGCTTCCCTGCAAACACTCTACCCCTCCATCCCCCACTGCTGTGGGAGCTCAGGTTAGCGTGATACTCCAACTGCATTTCCTCCATCTGGAGACACACCCCTTTGGGCCCCAAAACTCTGAGCCTGCGTTTTCATTTCCTTGGAGATCAATATCAGGAGTAACACCCTTTTATACAAAAATCAATTAGGTGCCTGAGCCCCTTCCCCAATGCCAGCTAAGTGACACTAGCTGAAGTGGAAGTCATGTTAGGATGAAGAGGTGCAAAAAAGAAATCTTACCTTGAGTCCAGCACTGCCTACAACAAGCCCCCTGTGGGGGTGGTCCTGCCAGGACTCAGGGGATTGGCTTGTTAGCTCTGGATGGAATGTATGGCTCAGGGTTCTGGGGTGCTCCAGGGGGCCCCACACCATAAAAATGTGGTTCTTTCTAATTCTGGTTCCTGAAGAAGCCAGGCGCTCGGGGTGTACCTTGCAGGCTGCTCCTGCTGCTCTGAGTACCTATCTCTGGCACCCACATCCACACCCAGATGATCTAGAAGCAGAATCTGCTTCCTGTGGTCTGTTCCAGCCAACCCCAGCTGTGGCCTGTGGCCCGCTCACACTGAGGTCAGCGTTTCCTGGAATGACAGTGAGGAGACAGATTAAAGGAAGTGTGGGGACATGGAGGGAGGTTCTCTCAGCCGCCCCTGAGCTCATTTCCACATTACTGCTAATGGTGTTTGGCCCCAAGAGGCTCCGTGTTACCCCAGACCCATCAGAAAAGCCAAAGGGTCACAACCATCAGCTCAGGGGCCGAGTTTCCTGATAGGTCCACAAAATGAAATGTAGAAGGAGAGGCCAGGGACACCTACTCCCAGACACAATCTGAAACACAGTGGTGGTCAGGGTTTGAGAAGCTCTAGAGAAGCTCCCCTCTGCCAATCAACATCTCATCCCCTCCACTGAAATGCCACCATTGGAACTTGGTTTCTTCGGTCAAGCATTATGCTCTCTCCTCCACCGCCTTCCTTTGCTTGTGGCCAAGAGGACTTTTAGGACAGCACTAAGCAGAATAGGGGACTGGAGATGGTTCAAACAGTAGGATCCCACTCGTCTACAAGGCTACTTGAGACAATTAGAGAAAGCCATCCTCTCTGTTTGGCCAAAGCCATCTTTGTGGAAGAAAAAGGCAACCCTTTCCTCAGCATGGAGATGGAATAAACAAGGCTTGGCCCAGGGAACATGGGCAGGATGTCAGCTCTCAGCCATCCCTAGGTCATGGATACACACAGTGTATAGCACTAGAGGCCCTGTCTAAAGAAAGCAAAGGAGAGGTAGAAGAAAGTACCTTCATTCTGAAAGGAGTGCTTAGGGGAAAATTCAACTACTCCCTGGTTTTGTCCAAGGATACCCTTTGGAGATATATGTAGGTAAAAAAAAAATAGACAGATATATATATTCTATATGTATATGTGTGTATGTGTGTGTGTGTGTGTGTGTGTGTGTGTGTGTATCTATATATCTATAGCTATAGCTATATAGTAATTATTTTCAACCCGAAACTATCAGGATGCATGCTCTGGCTATGGGTCCTCTCTGTTCGGCCAAAGCCATCTTTGTGGAAGTGAAGGCTACTCTAGTAAACCCAGAACCTATGGTGACTACTACAGATAGGCTGAAAATGGAGCATGGCTGTGACAAGGATCCTGGGGTGACAGTGTGCCTGTGAGGTGCCTCCTTTCCCTCAGGGGACAGAGAAGAAGGGACATGTCTCTCGATGTGCGCTTGCAGGGGAAGGGCCATCTCATTCAGAGCTGGCCCAAACTCTGTTCACAGAGGCCCCGTCATGAAAACACACCAAGGCACTGCAAGGTCCCCAGTTTCCCAAGCTTTTGTTTCCTCCCCGCAGTGGCTAATCACCTTTCTCCACAGTTAACCAGTGATTCCTGCCTCCCTCAGCCAGAGTGTTGCTGGGAATAATGCAATGTTCCAAGCTTCATAGTTTGTCATCATGCAGAGATTTTACTGATTTCAGAGCTGAAGTGGCTGGAGGAATTGGGCATGCTCTGACAGCCAGGGTGCCTCAGGGCCAAGGATTCTGACTGGATAGCTGGATCCACACAGTCAAAACCACACAGGAAAATCCCAGAGGCCCTTCCTATCTAGTTTAAGGCTACCTTACCAGGAAACCCGGGCCTGAAGACAGCTGAGAGGGGGCTGTTTTCATAAATAGCCCCTGTCAGTTGCAAGTGAGCATATCCAGGTAGGTCAATGCCATGCACACTGGACTCACCCCTCTGGTCTCTGATGGACCATGTCAGCTTTACGACTTTGTCAAAGGCAAACATTAGCAGGTGCCCATTCTGCAATGCTTGACATAATTATCAGGGAGGCTGTAGGCAGTAATTACCCATTCATGGGCAGTTACTGCCTTGCGTTAAAGCCAAGTATCTTCTGCCTGTTCCCTCTTAAACCAAATCCAGAGTCCTGGGTGACAAGCCTGAAAAAGCCAGCAACCATCGCCACCACCTGGCAAGAAACAACACCTTATCTAAGCTATCACTGGAGGTTCTAGAACTATAAAAACAATATGTGTTTACATGTGTGCCCTGGCAAAATGGATGGCTGAATTGAATGCAGATTGGCCATATAAACATGGCTGTTAAATGTAAACTCCAGGCAAATGCTAGATCTTTCAAAAATGCAGGAACCCCTACATATATTTTTAAATCTTTTTAAGAGGACTTACTTAGATGGAAGGCCAGGATTGATCCATAGGGCCAGCCTTTCTTCTTTTCCCATTGGCTTGCAGAACCTCAAGGTGGTAGGACCACGGAAGCCCCACGTTAGAAACAGATGGAACTATTTATAGACCAAGAAATTTGAAGTGTTTTAATCCAACACAGAGTGTCAATAAGCATAACGAGCTTTAGGTATCTGAAGAGCAGGCAATAGCTTTCAACAATATATGCATCCATTTATTAAGCATTTACTATGTGCCAAGCCATGGGTATAATGTCACTTCATTGTCACAATAGTCCTGCCATGTACTATTTTCCCTTTCCAGTAATAAAGAACCTGAGGGGCAGCCAGTTGGTCAGTGGTTAGATCACAGTGCTCATAACACCAAGGTTGCTGGTTCGATCCCTGCATGGGCCACTGAGCTGTGCCATGCACAACTAGATTGAAACAACTACTTGACTTGGAGCTGATGGGTCCTGGAAAAATACACTGTTCCCCAATTAAAAAAAAAAAAAAAAGAACCCGAGCATCAGTGAAGATGCCCAACATCACACAGCTATTTGATGACATCTGTAATTCACTTTAAAGTACTTTAAAATACAGCTTCAACAGTGTGCTATAATGTGTGTGAGCTAGTTTTAATCTATACCCAAGAACAATGAGTCAGCATCTGAAGTGCTATCATGAAAAATGCATACTCCAGGGCTGGTGAGTCGGCTTTTGAAAGGCTTGCATCAGAGCCCACGCTGAGTATTTTAGCTACACTATCTCAGTCGGCACTGCTGGGTTTGTTCAGGAATGGAAGAGAGGGTAGAAATACTTTTTCAATGGGGAATGAAGTGGTGTCAAGGTCAGCTGATTGGTTAGAAATATTGTCCAGACATCCCTGCCCTACAGACCCAAGAATCTGGCAAGCCCGGAGCCTTTGGTGGCTCCATTCTTAGCCTACGGTTCCCATTAGGTCTGTGTTACATATTTCAAAAAACGATTCTGTCCTCTGATTCCACTAGAAAGTGAGCTGAAACCTGCAACCAACATAATATTGTTGTATCGGTCTCAAGGAAACCTTCCTTCAAACAAACGTGTCAGAGACACTGTTGTGGATTGAATGTTTGTATCCTCCCAAAATTCTTATGATGAAATCCTACCCCCCAATATGGTGGTTTTAGGAGTTGGAGCCTTGGGAAGGTAATTAGGTCACACAGGTAGTTCCCTCCTGAATGGGACTAGTGTCTTTATAAGAAGAGAAAGAGACTAGATCTCAATATCCCTCTCCCCACCCCCACCTCTCTCTCTCTCCCTTCTCTCCCGTGTGAGGATACAATGAGAAGGTTGTCATCTGTAACTCAGGAAAAGGGCCTTCCCCAAGAACTCAGCCATGCTGGCACCCTGATCTCGAACTTTTAGTCTCCAGAACTGGGAGCAATACACGCTGCTGTTTAAGCCTCCCATCTGTGGTATTCTGTTATTGCAACCGAAGCTGAGCAGCCTAAGACAACGCTTCCCAACCTTTCTCACTTCCCGGCATACACACACGGAAAATGAGAATATTTGCACTACAACCTGGGGCCAGAGAGGGCCAGCCTGGGGGCTCCGCCGGCCCCACGCCCCACGTGTCCACCCCCAGGGTTGAGGGGAGTCACTATCTCGACAAGTCTGCAAAGCCAGCGGTAAGGACAGAATTCAGGAATCACTCTGAGCTTCAAAAACAGGTTGTGTGACTTTTCTTGTGTCTGCTCCCTAACAAAGGTTGGTATGCATGGCACCAATGTTTGGCACTGATGTGTCTGGGAGGCTGGGGAGGAGGAAATCTATAGCTCTCATCTACTTGGAATCATCAAAAACTGAGTCCCCCTTGAATCTCGCCACTGGGAATGGCCACGTTGGCGTAGGCCAAGTTGCAATGCCAGGTCTGCCTGCCTCCAACGTCTACGCTGGGTCCTCGATGTTCCATTGCTTTTTGGCCCAACGAGGCTTAATCAATGGATATTTGTCAAACCTACAAGGGAAGCTCTCAAGGAAATGCCATACTAAAGGGTTCTGTCCTTGGTGCTATGCAGTGTCACATTTTTATCAGTAATTTGAATGAGGACTGAGTCATACTTATCGAATTCGCAAATGACAGATTCTAGGACTTGTGAAGGTCAAATGAGATACTAGGAGAAAAGTCACGTGCTATTACTGTAAGGCTTTCCCTACTGATGATAATGACATATAGTTCAAGGCTATCTGAGCAGGCTGGAACAGGCCCCAAACTGGACCCTAAAATGAAATTGAATGTGATACACAGAAGTTCAAAATTTAGGTTTTAAAGAAATATTAATGGATAAAGTCCCAGATGGCAGAAATTCATGCAAAATATACACCAAATGAGTATGGGGTGAGTTTAGAGACCCCATAGATGATGAACCAGCAGGGGGGTGGGGCTGCCCCTAGAATTTAAGGGAGCCTGTCACCAACCACCTTGACACAAGATGGACTCTGACACTGGGCTTTGTTACTCCCAACTCCTGCAGACTCTGACCTTCTCCACACACTGTCCCAAAGTCAGATGTGGAGTCAGGCTTAAGAGCACATGAGCAGCAGTGAGCTCCCAATCAATGTGGAAAGTAATTACAAGAGAAAGCGGTCTCCATCATGCGCTACCCAAACGGGGTTGTTTCCATGCCCTGCAAAGACTCCCAACTTGCCAGCACAGCCCAGGTGTGTGTCTCAGAAAAAAAGAGGCAGAAGGAGAGTTGATAACAGCCTGAAATTTAAGATTTTCTTCACAGAAGATAGAGGGAATGCGGGGGGGGGGCAGTAGGAGAGGGGGACATAAAGCAAGCAATCAACTACCAAGGGGCAACCGTTGGTGCCCCTAAATTTAAAAATCTCTGTATGTCCTTGAATTTCA